GTGCTCTCTGTCTCTCTCATTCTCTCTGTCTCAGATAAAAAAAAAAAATCTTTAAAAAAAAAAAAAAAAGACACTTGAGGTTGGCAGGATCCTTCAAAATGATCTAATCTGCCATCCTCACAACAACATGGGATGGGGGGTTGCAGGGCAGGCATTGTTTTCCCCGCTAACAGATGTACACACTGAGGTGTGGGGCTGCAAAGTGACTTGCCCCGGTTCCGTGGGCTGGTCTGGTCGTGGCAACTCAGAGGCTGAGCCCCTTGTGCTGCCCCCTGGTGCCCCGTCCCTCACCGTAACTCCCCGTCTGGGCCCTCTCCCACTTCTTCCTTTCTGCCTTCACTAGGACGGCTGCCAAGGGACGTTGCCTGAGGAGACATCCTGCTCATGTGAGCACCTCTTCATGCTAGCAGGTTAATGTTTCTAGCTCAAAAGTGTACTTAACAGGGATTTTTTGAAAAGTCACATCATCGACCCCACCTTGATTCTAGAAATACCGATCCAATCCTTCCACTTCTTCCCATGCCCTTTGCCACTACCCTGGCCCAAGTCACCGTCAGCCTGCCCCAGCTCCAGCACAGCCTCTTACTGACTGTGCTACACCCACTCTTGCCCCCGCCCCTGAGCCAGGCCTCGAACACAGCCAGAGCACACTCTTCAAAATGGAAATCCAACCTTGGCTTCTCCCTGCTTAAAGCCCTCCAACAGCTCCCGTTCCTCCCAAGATTAAAACCCAGCATGGCCCATCAGGCCTGCGTGGTCTGGCTCTGGATTCCCCTTGGGTTCCACCTTGCATTGCTGCTCTGCTTTCCAGACAGACGTTCTTCTGGGTCCTTCTCCACACCTGCTCCTTCCACATGGGGCTGGCCACGCTTCTGCCCCCTGAGGGAACCCCAGGTTATATGTCCTCATAGCCCTACCTATCTCTCCTTCGTGGCCCAGTTGTAATTTTTATCTTTATTTGTGAAGTTATTTGATTAATATCTGTCTCCCTCCGAGGCTGTCGGCTGAACAGGACAGGAGCCATGTTTGCAGGCAGAGGGCTTGGTCTAGACTCAGGGACTCAGCCTTCTCTTGGGCTGGGTGTACCTGGCCACACGGGCCTGTGCTGAATACGGAGCATTTGGCCCACTGCTGTCCAGTATTCTGGCCCCAGCGTGTGGTAAGTGCTCCAGCATCTTCTTGATGGAGCCATCCCACCGCATCTGGAAACGTTTTCTACCATCTTACCCTCCTAACTCCTCAGTCGGCATGGGACTCCTGCTCTGCTTATGAGTGCACTGTCTTCTGTCTTCACGTAGCCAGGCAGCCTGTCCGGGGCAGCGATGGGGTCTTACCCTGTGCCTCCCATTCAGCCTGGCATATGCCTGGGCAGGAAGGTAGTCAGTGATGAAGACCAGGAGAGTCAGCGAGGGGGGTGGAGAAGAGGAGGAACCGGGTCTCTGTTGGAACAGTCTCAACCCTAATATCTAACCCTACGCAGTGGTCAAATGAGTTATGTTTAGAGCTCTAGCATAGGGTAGTATGTAGCCATACAAATATTTTCAAAAAATATTTGATGATGTAGAAAAATGCTACTGATTTCATGCTAAGTAAACAGGGCAGGGATACCAAACGTCCAAGTAAGTAAGACATTACGAAAGCTTTAATTCTAATATCTAACGTCTAGTTTTTTTATATGTGGAGAAAAAAGATTAGGAGGGTATATGCATATATGAGCTGTGGATATCTCTGGGTGGTAGGCTAACAGGATTTAAAATTTCTTCTCTAGACTTGCATTAATTTTTTCTGTGTTTTCTACAATGAATAGTTTTTGTGAGTAGCAACATCAGGAAATACCGCTACGAACTAAAAACGGCCCTGTGTTTAGGGTAGCTGAAGTCTCCCGCTTTCTACAGCCTTTTATGCCTTTTACGTGGGGCACTGCGAGGCTAGGCTGAAGCCCGGTGATGGGTCGGGGATCCCCAGGGCCCAGAGCGGCGGGGCCATCTGGGGGCTCTTCCCCGCAGTTGGCCATGTGGACCAGGGAACGCTGGGCCAAGCCTGCGAGAATGAGTCAGGACAGCACGCTCGTTCTAGGGCTGCCTTTTGGGGGTGGTCTGGTTATCCGATTTGACTTTCCTGGGGCAAGACGTGATGATCTATGAGCTGGCCGGCCCCGGTGTCTGGAGCACCTTCGTGAGCACATATGCCGGCTGATAGCAGCCTCACTGATATCAGCCCGGTACTTTACGGGTTACGGAGCCGTCTCCTTTCCAGCAGTCCCGAGAGGGGTGGGACAAGAGCTGTGGGAGTTGACACCAGGGAGGTGACGCGGTGGAGGTACTGGGGAAGATCCTGTGGACCTGGACCATGGTAAGGCCTCGCCTTCCTCCCAAGGGGATGCACAGGATGCACAGCTCGGCCCTCCCACATGGCAAAGCTTTATCTAAATTCACCTCACCTGGGCCTGCTGGCGTATTTAAGCTACTCAAGGGCAAACTCCGTTGTCTAAGGCTCCTGCGGATCCCTCAGGGTGATTCAGATTTGGTCCCCATTCACTGACTGAGAGAAGGAAGGAAGGAATTTCTGTTTGGCCGGATTGTATGGCCACACCCTCTCCTGCTCCAGGCAGCAATGAGGACTTGCGGTCCTGGGCCAGAGGCTACCAGCTCCCACCGTCTGCCTTTAGGAGAGACTTTCCCATCCGGGGGCCCAGGGTGTCAAGAGGATCCAGGAAGTGTCAGTCATTTGGCATCAACACTAGCAACAGTAATGGCTCTTTTCTGCCCTTATCTCTCCGGAGGGGTTAATTCAGACCGAACACAGAAGGGAGATGGGAGGGGGGTGGGCAGTGTCCCCTCTTATGGGGAACTCATTAGTTCAATGAGCGTTTGTGGGCGGCTCACTCTGTGTCACCGGGTGCTAGGCATTGGGGTACGGTGCCAGTAGCTGATGAGTGTAGGAAGACAATTAACAAAGCTTTGACCTTAGAACTGGAGTCAGGGAGGTGATGGATACCGTGTAAGCCCAGATGAGGATGAGTGGGAGCTGGTTAGGAGAGGTTTTGGGGAGACCTGAGGTGCAGTGCAGCAAGAGAGGGAATCGTGTGTGCAGGACAGAAATGTACTTGAACAGACTACGAGAGGGCATGATGGGCCCAGAGAAGGCCTCTGGACGCGATCCTGACGGCAAGGGGTTAAGAAGGGAGGGTGTCATGGCTTTTGTTTCTCAGAGAGGCCGAGTGGATGTGGGGACTAGATGGGAAGCAAGGCGACCAATAAGGAGATTGTTTCCATTTTACTGGCCCTAAAAGTCTAGACCCACGGCAGGGAGGGGCTCACTGCATCTCCCGGGTGAGGATGGGTGATGGGGAAAGTAGCACGGTGAAGAGGAACTGTCTGGAGGCAGGCAGACTCAGAATCATTATCTAGAAGATGCTGCAGAGAGTATTTCTAGGCCCAGCACCGGCACATCCTGGTGACGACTCGAAGGAGGCCTTCCTGGGCATGTGCAGCATTTAAAGGAAACCCGAAATGATTCCACTAATGTGGCAGTGAAGCAGCCCTGATGGGCAGGGGAGAGCCTTCTAGATTCTTCTAAGCGTTACTTCACCCAAGAAGCCTGGTTCCTTTGAATGATGGAAAGAGCTCTGGATGGGCGCCTGGGTGGCTCAGATGGTTAAGCGTCTGCCTTCGGCTCAGGTCATGATCTCAGGGTCCTGGGATCGAGTCCCGCATC